TTTAAGACTTAAAAAATATAAGCAGAGGATCATTTAACTATCAAGTCAGATGGAAGGCCTTTGGTTTTGACATTCTATTATAATTGTTTTATTCTAAAGAATAAAACAATTGTAAAGAAACTTAAGTCATTAGTCTGTTTAAGTGTGAAGTGTGCATAAAAAAATAAGACCAGAATTATCAGGGTAGACAGAAAAAGAATACACTGCTTGAGAAAAAAAAAAACTGCGGTTTATATGTTTGTTTTACAACCATCACATGCAATTAATCCACCTTTTAGTTTAGACTTCGGAGGACAGCTATTCAACACGTGTTTCTGTCAAATTTCAAACACACAAGAGATGCTTTCAAGAAAGTGAGACATGCACTGCAGTGGTTCTGATTCCAGTAAATATGTATCATTTATAGCTTCTATCTAAATCTGTTTTTGTGTTATTTTTTAAACAGGCACTATAATAATGTTTAGGAATCATTAAAATACATGTTCTGGAGAATTTTAATGGATATAACAACATAGCAAAAGAGAGTTTGTTGTAGCAATATTAGTGCCACAATTAATAAATTTTAAGTTTTATATCTGCATTTGGCAAGAGAAGCAACTTTTTTTTAGATCTCCAGTAAGGAGACAGGGAATGATTATGAAATAAAGAGAGTTACAACGCAAAATAGTTCCAGCAGTTAGGGAAGAGATATAAATCATGATTCTTTGAATATCTAGCAATCCCTCCCCTTTGGACCCACGATGGAACTCAAGGAAGGATGAAAAATCTATTGAGAAAAAAAGCAATTCAGATGTATGAGCCTTTTTTTTCCCTTTTTTTTTGTTTGTTTTGTTTGTTTCGTATTTAAGACATACCAACCAAACTTTAATAATAACTGCAGTTCAAAATAGAGTGTCTCAAACAAATTTCAAAGAAGCAATGGCTGAAAGGTAGGCTGTTAAATCTTGAAATTAGTTATATAAAAGTTTGAGAACTGTATTTTGGAAGATCAGGGAAATAGATGTGTTAAAAAAGTGTTATAACTGTGCAAAGATTCTCCTACATCTCTCTTTCTTAAAACAACATGAGTCTATTCTTTTAGTCAACTTTTTTTGTTGCTTTTAAAACAAGAGGCTGTATTTCTGATAATACCATAGATCAAATAAGGTAAAGTTAATCATTCAGTTAAAAAAATCTAGAACTCCAACATGATCATCCAGTATACTTATAGGCAAAATGTTAACCATGAATGATAAAAAATTATGATAATTCTTACCTCCATATATGTCTTCTTCCTTTCAGGTAGCACTAATGTATTTGCGTGGCTCCCAGGTACTACAGTAGATCCAATACTCATTCTAGGTCCAACTAGCATGTAACGTCTATCTCCTGATCTGTACTGGATGCTGTGACATAGTGTTCCATCATAATTAGTTTCTTGGAGACATTTAGAAGCATAGTCTGTAGATTTAGAGCACTGCATTGCAATCAGCACAACAATACTGATGATGAACAGAACAGAAACTGCGCCTAATGTGATCATTAGGTAAAAAGTCACGTTGTTATCCTCATCATCTTGTGTTGCACTTTTGACATCAGAAGCTGCAAAGGCTTCTTTTGGCTCCACAAGTTTAATAATCACTGTAGCTGTTGCTGAGAGGGAAACGTTGCCATTGTCTTTCACCAGTATGACCAGTTTATGCTCAGCCTCATCTCTTTCTGTGAATGAGCGAAGTGTTCGGATCTGTCCTGTGTAACGATCCAAACCAAAGAGGCTGTGGTCAGTAACTTCCTGCAGTGAAAACAGCAACCAGCCGTTATATCCTATATCAGCATCATAGGCTCTGACTTTAGT